CAGCAGAGCTGCTATCCTGAGTGTGCAAGGGTGGGACTGCCCCCGGAGCTACAGTCCTTGTGTCTCCTGTACAACTTTTCAGCTCCACATTCCTAATACCAGTATCAGTGGAAAACAAGCTACCAATGGACAGTGGGGTTTAGACCATGTGGATAGAGAAAAGGCCCAGTAATAGATATATCAAGTAGTTTATAGATGACTATGCTATAAATTACTGCCCTGTGGTAATGTGTGAGGTCAATACGGTGCTTTGTTACACTGTAATAAAATAAATAAATGTAATAAGAAATGAAGTACTTAGGTTAGTTGGCCCTTTTGGAACCTTATGCCATTTTTCTGTTGTAGATCTTAGCCTTTAATATTAGTAATTTTTACCCAGGCTGACATCATGAGCTCAGCTGCTACCAGCACTAAATTCTCTGCCATGAATGACTTACACTGTTTGTAGTGTGAAGGTCTGCTGGAAGATGAACCTTTACTGCAGATTACCACAGATTAGGGCAGCTTGCACTGCCCAAGACATCCATCCTTGCATGCTTTTGCTGTTGGGCCCCAATAGATATGAAATGCACACAAAGACCAAAAAAAAGCAGCAAGTCTATGAAACTACAACATATACACTTTTGCAGGGCATGGAATAGAACTGGCTCTGCAACAAGGACCCAGTTTGTCTGACCTGTATCAACTTGTGAGTCATCTTTGTGCTGAAGTGTGACCTCTAAAAGGTCTTGCTCCATAGCAGGTTATGGTTGACAGTACAAATCAGTAATGCATGGGGAAAAAAGAACTCATCAGCTTGAGAAGAATATTCAGTTATTTCTCAATGATTGATTATGATTCCAAACCATCAAGACTTAACTGACATAAGAACCACAGGAGTTAAGGTCTGGATGGCCTAAAGATGCAGACACTGTTAGCTCCAACCTTTGCCTGGTGTCAAACGTACTGGAAATTTGTCCGAGGACACAGATGCCTAATTTTCACAATAGACTGTGGGAAGAAGGTGGGATGCTGTTCATGGCTGCTGAAGGACACAAGCCTCACTTCCTCACCTTCATCACAGTGATGAATTTAAGTATAAAAAGAGTCCTTCCTCCTACCCCCCATGGTCTGCTACCAAGTTAGAAACTGCACACAGCAAAGACGTGGACATGGACATGGACATGGACATGGACAGGACATGGTCCTGCCTTTTCCAGGGTAATGCTTCAGCCTTGTCCTACCCTACTCAATCTGATCTGAGAGCTGCCTTTGTGGATGAAAGGTGTTGGTCTACGGTCACTTATGCTTCTCTGGGGATCTGTACATGAGAGTAGAGGACTTTGCTTCTGACCTGTTCCACTTAGGAAAAAAGGACAGAGATTCATGTGGAATGGGGAGCGCTGTGAGAAACAGCTCAGGAATTTACCTTGTTTGCACAATTTTGAAGGGCTAGATAACAAATTACAGGTCAAAGGGAGGAATGAGAGGAGGAGGTTTCCTTTCTCCCTGTAACTTGAAATCCTTTCTAGTGGATGGGAATGCATATATTTTTTGTGTTTCCCCAGCTTATCTTTCTCTGTTGGGTTCTAGCAACAAAGCCCAGTTCTCTTCTTTTGCTCATATCTTCTCAGATGCTGGGTCTGAGGAGAGAGTCTTATTTTCCCCCTTAAGTTTCTCTTCCAAGTAGGACATTATGAGCAGCTCTCCTGTGTCTCTTGTTTTAAACACTGCTGGTACCAGACATGAAGTAACTTGGCTTTATCAAATGTTTTTAAAGGCATTTTAAGCCTTCTTGTCAGTACTGGTTAGTTAAGTTGAAATTAAAACCTGATTTGCTTCTGTTTGAAAGGGAGATTGTTTTGCCTGCACGTTTATCTATTTTCACTGAGGTCTCACGTACATTGGCAGGATTGGATCAAACTGAAGAAATCTGAGGACTTTTTCCCCTCCCACTTATTTCTTTTTCAAAAATTTAAATTAAAATTTTTGCTATTAAAACTCTGTTTTTTTCTTCTCAGCATCACTGTACCCCATGCCTAGCAATCACAGCAGCATTTTTACTTGCTACTGAGTTTGATCACCGAACTTGCTTGTTGCAAATAAAGCCAGGGCTGTTTCTTCACGATGGCGCTGGCACACTGCAATGTGTTTGGGCAACCTAAATCCCACCAAATCCTTCTGTTTCAGGTTGCCAGAGGCACCTTGCTGACAGGCAGCACCAAGCACAAGGACTGGGTGCACAGGAGGGCTCCTGGGTGTGACTCCTCATCCTCATTGCATCCTGCTCACAGCATCACAAGCTTGGAGCAGCCATTCTGGTCTCATAACTCTAGAAGCAAACATAGGCAACCAAGTTTCATGCTACCAGCAGGTCTAGGCTGTGTTTTCCTTCCCAGGTCTTTTTATTGCCCAGAGTGACCTCCTTGGTGCTGCAGGCTGCCTCCTTGATGATTCCCCCAGTCTTAGGAGCCATTGTGGCTGCTGCCACTAGATACACAACCTCCTCTCGGAGACTGAGCTGCCTGCTTGTTCCCAAAGATAGAAATTAGGTGAAGGTTGAGAGGACTTATCAGTAAGTCAGGGCAGGAGCAAACACACATATTGCCAGGATGTTGCAAACATCCTCAGAACAAACACCCCAAATGCAGGGAATTCAGTTAAGGTTGTTTAAATGGTTACTGATATTTCTGTACATTACGGCATAGACTAAAGGTGCACAATATTAAAAAATAAAAAACTGGGACAGAACACAGAAGTCTCATGCAACACCCAAAATAATTGTAAATTTTCAAAAATTCTCGTGAACCTCTATGTCATCTGGAAAATGATTTCTCTCATACTGAGAGCATTGTATTTTGGTATGCCAAAGTGTTTAAATATATAAAGTCCAGTTTAAGGCTCTATGACTGCTGTCACCGTGACTAACCAGAAATTTCACTCTGATCCACAGCTATAAATCAGACCTGCATTTCCATCAATCCCCACACTGAGGCTTCTGTATCTGCTTGTTTGGGCTCTCTCAGGTGCTACCAGCCTCAAACCTCTTCAGTACTGAGTGCTTCAAAACCTAATAAGCTCCTTTTGGGAAAGCTCTTCCTTCTTTGTCTTTTGAACTCCACTCTGCCTTTTTAATGCAGACATTTATTTTGTGAGGAGGGTAAATTTTGGGCTTTTTCATGCCCCTGTTTCCTCATATTGAAATCTGTTTATTATTATTTCTGCAAATACTGCTAAAAGTTATCCTCGCCTTGACTGCTACTCAGGAGACATGCTTATTCAGGGTTTTAATTATTTATTTCCTTTAATCATTAATTTCCTGTGGTTCCTTGGTTTATGGGTTTCCTAAATCCCTCCCGAGAGATTGTGATCACAGAACTAAACTAAGAGCAACTCTCTTGGGATCTCCAGTAATTCCAGTGCAAACAAAGAAGAAATGAGACCCGAACTCAGACTCGAAAGGGTGGGTATTAGAAGGGTTTGGAGAGGGCTTGAGATTTCCTGATGGGGCATTTCTGTTGAGGTGAGACCTGCAAGATCATATCATTCAGCAGACTCTTCACATTACTAGGGTGTAAAGTCCTGTTGTAAAGAATAAAATATGGGATTTCAGTTTCATGGTTCCCTTTGAGTTCTCTGTTAGTCATTTTAAATCCACACTAAAATAGATTTTAATTTTCTCTTTCCATGTTTTGCCTTCAACTTCATGCAGGTTTGCTTCACAAGACCAGAACCATGTCTGGCTGTACTGTATTCACCATGGCAGCATCCAGAGGCTGGCTCTTTGTCATACCTCCATAGTCTTAACTTCCTAAGTAAATTAAGAATTAAAGCTGACTTTGTCTGATTTGTCCACCTAGCCTTTTCCATTTGAGAAACTTCCCCATTTCTTTAATTTCATGAAGAGCACAGTAATACTTCTCTGTAATTGTTCTCAGCTGCTTTTTATCATGGTGGTGCAAAACCACACAGCCATCAAATATCATCTTTTTTCTTACCTTCTCCTTTGCCCTCCTTCATCCCTTCTGGCATTTTGTCCTTTTCGTGCCTAGCTTTACAGCTTGCTGCACATCTATTTTGCATCTAATCCACTTAGTCTTACTCTGTAAGAACTGATATATAAACAGCAGCTTGAACTGTGGCATCACTCTGAAGCGCAGGCAGCCTTGCCACGCTGGGACTCACCAGCGTGGGAATCACTCGGTTAGCTGAATGTTAATCTGATCTGGCTGCTATTGGTGACACAGCAAGTTTTGCTCTGTACATACACGCTGCTCTGTCTCATGCAAAAATGAGATAGTGAAAAAGGCATATCTGGAAAATACATCCTTGCATGAAGAAGCACAACACTGCAACAGCCTGAAGTTTTGTTAGTCCTGACCACAGTATGATCCCCGAGCAGTCAGACCCCAGTTCCATTGTATGTGACCCTCTAGGAATGCTGCCCTGTGGAAAAAGGGGAATTGATCTTCTCTACCCATTCTTTCCACTGGTGTTTCATCTCACCATTCTTTAATCAGGTAACTGTGTGTTTTAGTGTGTTTTTGGAACAGGGAGACGTACTAGGGGGCCTTTCTCTATCTTTCTGGGAAGGCTGAGAAGGCACCCTGCTTCCAAAATTGCACCGAGGATTTGCCTGTTTGCCTCTACATGCCATTCACTCAATTATCTCCCTCCTTATACAGAAAAGCTTTTTGAAGAGCTTGCCAAGGTTTCTGCGAGGAGCCCTCATGAGTGAATTTCACCACAGATGAAGGCTTGACAAGCTTTGTTGGACAAAACAGGAAATTAAGGTGCTTTTTGTGTATGCATATGTTTACAAATATTTATTTTAAGCTTTCTTGCATTACTAGATTTCAAACGCAGCAGAAGCATGGCACACAGTGCTACTTGGCGCTTCCCCCGCCTGTCCCTGCCCGCAGGCTCCTCCCGGAACAGTGTCCCTTCAATCCACCGCTGCGCTCACCTCTGCCCTTCGGGCACCGCCACTTCAACACAACCACCTCCCCCTCCTCTTCCTCATCCCTCCCGCCCCTCCTTCAACCTTCCTCAAACCTGCGGTCACTTGACCCGGGCGGGGCAGCCCCGTCCCGCCCCGGAGCGGGCAGCGCGGGGCCCCGGGCGAGCTGGGGAGCGCACGTCTTCCCGGAGAGCCGGGATGGAAACGGAATCGCCCCTCGGAGTGAGTAAAACAAGTGCGAAGCAGAGTGGAGGGTGGCATCTGGCTCTTCGGAGGGTGCGGGCGGCGAGGGCAGCGCGGGGCGGGGGTGGCGGTGCCCCCGGTGCCCGTGGTACCCCCGTGCCCGGCGGGGCTGGCGGCGCCCTCCTCGCCGGGGCTGTTCCGATAGCTCTCCTCACAGCGTTTGCTGTGATTCCCGTGAGGATTTCTTCTTAGCTTCTGGATAGGCTGCAGCAAATGTTTTATTGATGTCACCGTCAACTGTTCATTAATTAGCTGTCCCTCCCGGAAACGCGTGGGGTTTGGCCGTGTCCCAGCGCTCCGGGCCGGCGGGGCTGTGCGTGCAGGGCACACCGCGGCAGGGCACAGCCTGGGGGAGAGGGAGTCAGCCCGATAGTCTCGGTGTCCCGAGGCTGGAGGATGGTGATCTCTAGCGGCTTTGTGCTTTTGAATGTTTTATTGCTTGTTTATTGCATGCGTCCCGGTACGGTCCTCAAAATGTAATTGCAGCCTGCATGCAGAGCACCCAGGAGGTCAGAAACCTGGCCTGAACAAGGGGAGCGAGGGTCGTTAGAGTGGGTGGATGCTGGCTGGAAGCCAGGTGCCCACCACCATCTCTCTATCACTCCCCTCCTCAGCAAGACAGAGAATATAAGGAAAGGCCCATGGGTTGAGATAAGGACAGGGAAAGATCACTCCCCAGTTATCACAACAGACAGAACAGACTCGACTTGGGGAAGTTGTTGAATTTGATACCAATCAAATCATAGTAGGGTAATGAGAAATAAAGAGCAAATCTTAGAACACTTTCTCCCCACCCCTTCACTCTTCCTGGGCTCAGCTTCACTCCTGGTTTTCTCTTACCTCCACCCCCTGCAGTGGCTCAGGGGGACGGCGAATAGGGGCTGGGGACAGTTCACATGTTGTCTCTGCCACTCCTTCCTCATCTGGGAGAGGACTCCTCACACTCTTACCTGCAAACTTCAATATTAGTCCTTCTCATGAGCTGCAATTCTTCATGGTCTGCTCCAGTGTGGGTCTCTTCCACAGGGTTGCAAGTCCTGCCTGCAAACCTGCTGCAGTGTGGGCTCCTCTCTCTGCTGGACACAGTTCCTGCCAGGAGCCTGCCCCAGCATGGGCTTCTCATGGGTCACAGCCTCCTTTGGGCATTCACTGGCTCCAGTGTGGGGCTTTACACAGGCTGCAGATGGATCTCTGCTCCAGTGCCTGGAGCCCCTCATGCCCTCACTGACCTTGGTGCCTGCAGACTTGCTTTTCTCACATATTCTCACTTCTCTTTCCCTGGCTGCAGTTGCTGTTGCATAGCAACTTTTTTACCTTCTTCAATCTGTTATCCTAGAGACACTACCACCATTGTTGATGGGCTTACCCTTGCTCAGCAGCGTGTCCACCTTGGAGCCATCTGGCATTGGCTCTGCTGGATGTGGGGTAAGTTTCTGTCAGCTTCTCCCAGAAACTACGTCTGTAGTTTCCCTGCTGCAAAACCTTGCCATGCAAACCCAACGCAGTAGTTAATCACAGCACCATGTGTAGGGTGGCTTGCCTATCTAGAAGAGGGAAAAAAGACACAGTTCTTCTTTGTGAAGTTTAGGATTTAGTCACGAGAGGCAGTAGCTAATGGTTGCAGTTTCATTCCTCCAGCAAGGACTTGTCTGTATCCTGAAAGGTTATATCACATCTCAAGCACAAGTCAGCAGCTGAGTTTAAAGGTGATAGTGTGAACAGCTAGAGCTTTGCACTATGCAGGAGATCAAGCAAAAGTCTGTTCCAGTCACTTTTGGACAGGACTTGATTAGCAGATGGCCAGGGTGCAGTTCCTGCACTGCCAGAGGCTGCCATTCCCAGCCTCAGGGTGTTGTGGAAGGAGGTCAAAGGAAGAGGAGGATGAGATGTTGATCTCTCACATGTCTGTGTTTGCAGGACCACAGCATGTCTTGATGTTTCTTCTCTCTGCTGGCTTTCTCCAGGCCCAGCAGGACACAAGAAGTGTCCTGGTCCTGCTGAGGCTGGGGCGTTGATGGCAGCTCAGAACCTGCTACCTGTGGGTTTTGGCTGGGCAGTGCCAACAGACCTGTTGTACAGCCTGGCAAAGCTGATTGCAAGGCTCGGTACCTCCACAGGGGCTTCTTCAGCACGGGCCAGTGTGGGGCTGTCCTGAGCCAGTGGTGAACTGGTGAAAGGGACTGGTGTGGCAGAAACCCACCTTTTTCTGTTAGCTGTGGGGCTGTGCCTGCATTAGCCCAAGCAAGTCAGTGAGAGCACACTATGGGAGGAGAGGATGGCAGCAGGTAAAGCTGCACCCTTGGTTACATCCTGGGAGTGCTGTCAGTGCAAAAGAGCTTGTGCTGGGAGAAGATGTGACTGCCAAATGGGGCTTATGGGTCTTGCTGCTCCCTGGGGGGCGAGCTGTGTGCCTGCTCTGGGAGCTGTGGATGGCCTTGGAGAATTGGACTAACTCTCTGGTCCCAAAGTCTCTGGAAAGGGGGCTGCAGATCACAAGCAAGAGAGGAAAACCCGTGCTTATAGTTAAGTTTCTAGCTGGCATACAGAACTTGCAAAAGTGCTGCCATATGCTAGAGTGTTGCAGCCTCACAGCTCCTGTCATCTTCAGAGCTGGAGAAGGACAGACACCATTCAGTCATTTGCAACTACTGAACAGCAATGCTGTTTTAAGCACCTGCAGCTCCTGCCCACACTGATGCTACGTGGTACAGAGACTAGAGCAGAGCAGCCACGGGCGAGCAGTGGTGTGCAGTCTGAGAAAGCATGAAATGCAGCAAAAGTTGACAAAATTAGCTGCAGACTTAACGTTGTCTGAACACGGGGTTAGCAGGAGGCAGTTTATCATGTTAAATCGCAGAGCCATGGATGAGTTGATCTGACTGAGATATGAATGTCTTTCCAAGACTAGCAGAGAGGGACCATTTGCTTATGTAGAACAAAAAGGATCTGTACTTTTTTCACACCCCCCCCCCCCCCCAAATTATGGGCATTTTTCCACTTGACTTTGCACTAGACCCATCAAATACCTGCTTTTTAAATAAGGAGACAAAGGGAGCAAGAGAGGGTTTAAACCACTTTTGTTCCTGCTTACAAAAAGGCCTTGTGCATATGGAAAACCTCAGAGGCAGCTGCTCTTCACCAGGAGGAAAATCCCAGATTACACACTGGACACGTGCAGCCTGTGTCACTGTGCCAGGGCTGCCAGGTATTTCCTTCATCCCACATAGTCCCATTCTAATCTAAACTGGGGTGACTGTATTCAGAGAGACCCATTCAAAGACACACCAAAGGCACACCAGGGCAGGCTAGGCAGGTGAATCACTGGCAGATCTAAAGGCAGATTTTATCTGTTACATGTGGTATGGACATAAAACTTAGGAATACAGTTCCTAAAGTTGCTTTTCAGATGACCCTATGTGACTGCCAAAAAAATTATAATCTATTGCACTGTGTTTAAGGAAATGCTCTTCATATAAGCAGTATGGCTTACCTGTACATTCCAACCACCACCTCAGAAAAACCAACCTCCTCCTTAAAGCAATCTGAAGAACACTGGGGAGAAGCAATCTTGAATGAATGTGCTAAGATGCAGCAAAAAGGATCAGGAACTAGTGAAGATGTTTGCAGAGTACAAAAGCTGAACAATTACAAGCTGAGTGCCATTACTGTAGAAGACAAGAAAGAATCATTCACAGTCATAGCTTTTTTAAAAAGGATTAAAAAGAAAGGTGTGGTATTAATGAAGGTAATCGCTATGCCATGATCTAAAAGAAACCATCACACTAGCTGTAAAAAAGCAGTTAAAGCCTTGAAAGCAGTGAGAAGAAGGAAGGCTCTGATCCCCAAACCACTACTTAAACTTCAGGAACATCCCTGAAAAAAAGACATGGACAGGTTATCTTCATGTTCTGCATTATCCAGGACATCATAAATTGAAAAATGAACAGAATAACTCCAGTAGGCACTGGTGATGCCATGATTTCTCATCTGGGTTTCATCCACTGGCAATCCTGCATGACCATTGCAGATTTTGCAGAAGATCCCGGAGAGGCTTGTATCCAAGAAGAACAGTTCCAGAGTAATTTTCAGGAAGATCTGAGCAAACTGAAGTACTTATGATCATGGACTCATAGGGGTGATAAGAACAGATCAAGAGATAAAGAGATGAAGGTTTTCCTCTTTGACCCCAGAAGCCAGCATGACCTGCAGATACAGTGTCCTGACATCTTTGCAAAGGCTTTTCATAGAGGTAGTGTTGTGACACCTGATTTGATCCTTTAAAGTGAGTATTCTCCAGGGACCTGAGGGCAGCAGACCCAGCCCCTGTCCCAGCCCTGCCATCAGTCCCCTTGTCATGCACCTGGGACTGCAAAGGGTGAAGGAATGGACGTGGTTTCACTCTGGAGGTAGGTTACTCCTTGTGATTTCACAACAGCCAGTGTAGACAGTAATTTCTTCATACCAGTGAAACTGCATATATTTGTTTTGGCTCTGCTTTTTCTTTCACTTGGTCAGTTTACAAACCTGAAGCTGGAGCCCTCCCTTGGCACTGTGCTGAGAGACAATGTCATCAAAAGAAGCCTATGTTGTAGCTGTGAAACTCTTGATGTTTTGCTGCAGCCACTTGAGAGAAGGGTTGACATTTTATCACATCTATAAATCCACTCTGCACAGGTAAAATATCATTAATTTGACCACAAGTGTATGGAATGGTTTATGTTTTTTCTTTTCCCAGAACAGCCCATGAGGTCCCAGAGCAGGCACTAATGCAAAATGCCTTTGCAGACCTTCATTCACACGTGCCGTGAAAATGGCCAGTGGATGTCGCGATTACCAGAGGAGCTCTGGGATGTTCCCCTCTATAACTTAGCTCTTCCAGGTAAAGATTAACTTTTGCTCTCCACTGTTTTGTTAGCTTGTCATTTAAGCATTGGAACATCCTGTTTGTCCCATTTTATGATGGCTATGTTTATAATTTGGGTCAAGGTGTGGGAGAAGGGCTTGGGGAAGGGCCTGTGTGATGTTATGTGTGCGTGAATAATTTTGGTCTGTAATGTTTGGCATTTCTCAGAGTGAAGACGGGAAAAAGGAAAGAAAGAGGCACTTTTTTTTCAATCTCTCTGCATCATCTTGCCAGATCAGTATTAATAATCTAAGCATTTGCTTATCTGGGCAATCATGAAGTTTTCCTAATTAATTCTTGCCGCTTCCTGTATAATGAAATGGTTCCATAAGGAGAGAAATAACATTTTACCTTACTGTTTGTTTCTTTGTACTGTTTAAAAGAGGCTGTGGAGGTATGGGAAAAGGAGAATTGAGACTTTTAATTAATATGTTTTTATTTATGTAGACTGTGCTACATGATCCTGCTTACAAAAACTGGATTTATCCTATCATGTGTAGATGCAGATAAGTGGCATCTGCGTATCATTAGCCTTTCTTTGGTCAGCTTGTTGCTTTTTCTGCTACCTTGATATTTTTTCCCTCTCATTCTGTCCAAAGAAGTTGAGGAGGCACTGGAGGACTGTCAGCTCCCCCTGTGCCTCCACATTAAAAATGTTACAGAAGAAATGTGTAGCCCACGTTTTCTCTCATATCTGTAGATGTGACAGGTAGTTTGGGTGGAGAGCAGCCCAGCAGCCCAGTGTGTAGATTAATGTTTTCGATAGGCTACAGGATCATAGGTTAATTTTAGGAAAGACATATATTTAGAAACAGTGTGAATTCTTGTTTTCAAGTGAGTGGAGCCCTGAGAGGACCCAAGAACCATAGTGTTTTGGCTCTGTTTTCATTAAAGTTTAAACCCAGAAACTTATCTCAAGGTGACTTCTTAGATATGTAATTTGAGTTAATGTTAGCTAGAGAACAAGCACACCTCTGTTTGTAAGAGGACTCAGCATAGATGTTATTAAAAAAAAGGCTAGAATTTCTTATTTACCATCAAGAGAAGAAAATATGTATCTGTCTTTGGAAAGAAGAAAGTATTAACCTCCGACTTTTTATTTTTCTTTTTGTTCATCTTGCAAAAATCCTTCAAATAGTCAGTAGCATGCTCGCTGGGGTTTCGTTTTTGGGGAAAAGGAATCATGTTGTTTCTAAAAGGCTTTCAGAGTGGTGTTTCTGGGACATTGTAGAAAGTGGAGAATCTGCTAATGTGTGCCTTTGACTTCCTGGCTCTCCTCCTAACGGTGACCTTGTTATTCTTGCAAATGTTTGTTGTTCTTGTGAATATGCCTGCAGGGAGAACAGGCATGAAGAAAAGAATAGTTGAAGGCAAGCCCATTTCAGCAAACATTGGAGGACTTTTACAGAGCACTGCAGGCTATTAGCTTGAAATATTTTGGTGGCTGTCCAGCTGACCTACAAAACTGATCTGGCCCAAGTCACAACAAAAACAGATCAAGACCAACCAGGTCAAGACAGCCCTGGCAGGTTTTTGAAGGGAGCAATAACTGGGGGAAATGCACTTTGGAAGTGGAAGTTTATGTCATAGAAGTCATGCAAGAAACATGAACGTGACAGAGTGCATTCTGAAAGCATGATGAGGAGGCAGAGGCAAATCTCAGTAATTAGTGTTGTGCTTGCACCAGATCCAGCACAGTTCCTCTGTGGAGGTGTTGATTCCAGCTCTGAAGCTACCTGGCTTGGTGCTAGCTCACTATCTTTGCATCATATTTGTTGTGTCATGGATATACCCATCTTCCTTTCATTACTGTAACTCACTGGCATCACAAGAAGAATCCTAAGTAAAAGATTACTATCCTTTTGCTGGTTGGCATCAGTGGATGCAAACACCCATCAATGGAATCCTGCTCACCTCTCTCAGACTTGGATTTGGTCCATGGGTGTTTAATGACTCTTACATCTTCTAAGACATACTTCTTTGATTACATGCCCACAATGTCGATCTTCCATCTGCAGTGAGCTTACTTTGGGTCTCTCAAGCAGGAAAATAGATGGAAAATAGATTTCAAAAGGTGAAAAAATTGAGTGAGACATTAAACTATTATTGGTAGTTTAAAAGAATTCAAAACCAATCTTGTCCTTTTTTCTTTGGCTACTAGAAATAATGCCATTGGCACCAGTAAGACTGACCATTCAAAAAGGCAGCTTCTAGCAACAGTAAACAATTTATTTGAAGCCAGACTTAAAACCCCAAATAATATGCATTTGCAGACACTCTGTAAAGATCCAAGCAAGTCACTTGCCTGAATTGTTAGCTTTTCTTATTGATTCTTTATAAAACTGGAAGAAATAATGGAACAGAAAAAGCTATCAAAATCACTGTTTCCCTGTCCTGAAGAAATTTTGAGTTTCAATAGTTTCATCTAAATATGATGCAAGAGATGTGTCAGATTTATTAAGATTTCAAAGAAATCAAATATTTGGGCAGGCTGTGCTTGGCTCTGTTGCTTAGGCTGCCCCTGTGTAATTCCCTGCGCTGGAAAGAGTCAGATAATTTTTGACATCCATAGAAGATGGACCTTTTTCATCTATCACACATAAACTTACATTTGGATTGGCCTCTGAAACCTTCAAGTACCCACCTCTTATGTTGGTTTTGTAGGGTATTGAAGGTTTAGGTCAGGAGGGCTTGTTTACCAGATATTTAAGATATAAATATTTAAAGTACCAAGTTAGGAGTTGGTCCAGTCAAAAGTGTAAGAAGATAAATTTCTGCTTTCAGTCATATTTTCCTGTGCAGAGATGATGGGATTGGAGAATGAAATCCTGCATTTGGACAGCTCTGAAAACAGGACAAATCCTAGATAAATTCAGCCTTCAGCTATTCCCTGAAAAAAAGAGAAGTGGGTTTTCACATCGTGGTTATTATTTCAGTGGAAGATGCTATTTGAAACAGGCCATTTTATTGTGGTTTGGGCAAACGACAATGTGTAGTTTAGATGGGGACTAGTTTATTGAAAAGTCTTGATGCCTTCACTTCACAAGGATTTCACACTACGCTTATTAGTGTCAGGTGAGCAACCTCTGTAAAAGAGCCCACCTTTTTGCCACAACTACATAGGCTGTCAGAAAATATAGGTGTGTGATTTATAAATGGGGTGGGGTATCAGGTGTGGTGTATCAGATCTTGAATAGTTAAGAAATGAGATTTTCTGTACATCTATTTTTGTATTCTACAGGGAGTCATGACACTATGACCTACTGTTTGGACAAAAGATCTGCTGTTAGTGGCAATGAATCCAAGGTGGTGAAGTTTTTAAACAAATGCATGCCCTGCATTGTGCGCCCCATTATCATGAAGTGGTCCACCACACAGGTAACTGTCATCTCGTGTTCTCTTCATGCCTCAGCAAAGTTGAAGCTTGTGCTGCAGGGCTGAGAGTGGCCGAGCTTTGCCATGCACAAAGACAGAATAGCCTGCTGCCCAGAAGTCTGTGCTCTCCTCAGATGCTGTGCTTGGGTGTCGTGGTTTAACCCCAGCCAGCAACTCAGACCCACACATCTGCTTCTCACTGCCCCTGTGTGGGATAGGGGAGGGAATTGGAAGGGTAAAAGTGAGAAATCCCCTGGGTTGAGATAAAGATGGTTTAGCAGGTAAAGCAAAAGCCATGCATGCAAGCAAAGCAAAACAAAGAATTAATTCACCGCTTCCCATGGACAGGCAGGTGTGCAGCCATCTCCAGGAAAGCTGGGCTCCATCACGTGTAATGGTGACCTGGGATGACAAATGCCACCACTCTCAGTGTTCCCCCTTTTCTTCCCCCAGCTTTATATGCTGAGCATGACTCCATATGTCTGGGGTATCCCTCTGGTCAGTGGAGGTCAGCTGTCCTCGGCTGTGTCCCCTCCCAACTGTTTGTGCATCCCCAGCCTGCTTGCTGGTGGAGCGAGAGGCAGAAAAAGTCTTGGCTCTGTGTAAGCACTGCTCAGCAATAAGGAAAATATCTCTGTGTAATCAACACTGTTTCCAACACAAATCCAAAAAACAGTCCCATACCAGCCACTGTGAAGAAAATTAACTCTTCCTGTCTAAATCCAGCACACTCGGGTATGAGACAGGTGGCATATACACCTGGTCATCTTTTGTGGGGAAAAAAACATGGTAGGTGAGGCAGGGATGATACTTAAATAAAGATGTTGCTTAAAGCTGACCATTTGGTACTAGAAACTCGTCTTCTTTTTCAAATGTTTATTGTTGTTATAAATAACGTATAATATTACTGTAATCAACAGAGTTTTTTCTGTTATACTTTTTTCAGAAGGTAGTGCTTGTCATTTTTGCTATCACTGTTGTGAGATATCAGTTGTTTTCCCCATCCATACTGGGTATTTCACCCAGTAGCAGAGACAGAAGTATTCCTCATTGAAGGATATTTTTTTCCCATAAAGATTAAGAGAATGAAGGTGTGTTCCCTCATGTAAGGTTTAGTTAATTTTTTAAATGTCCGAATATTAAGCTAGTAGTTATCTCTTTGTTCCTTACAAATGTATGTTAAAGACAAAATTGGGGATCATGATTTAAGCTAGAGCTTTTGAAGATTCTTCCAAAGAAGAGACTTTCCTGACATCAAAGAGGTGCCAAAAATCTTTTTGCTTTTGTTCTTATTGAAGGAGTAGTTAATTATTATGGAATTAAAACTGAAAAATTGATAAATGGTAATAAGTATGCCTAAGCTTTTATTGCGTTTGTGCAGCTCTGGTAAACTGGAATCTTAGACTCTACCAGGGTATATATAATGGCAATGATGAGATGATGTGGAAAGGCACTTGCGTAGCACAGAGTCTTCTTTACCTTGAGCTGCTTTTTGCTTTGGGACTCAAGACAGTGAAAAGATTTAGATACCTCCTGACTTGTGGGTTTCTGTCTGGCGAAGTGACACTGTTGGTGACAATCTCCTAATATCATTATAGTAATTTCTGGTCCAAACCCAGAGTGCCAAGTGGGTGCACTGTTAATAGGAAAGAGGTACAGCTGCAGTCCTGCTCTCCTTACCTCGGGGGTGCTCCAGTTATCTCTGTGAGGAGATGACTCCACCCACTGGTAGCCAGAACAGACATGAAGGAGCCCTACTGATGGTAGGACTCATGGGTTCTTGGATTACCCAGTGCCTAGGAGGAGGTGCCTTCTTGAGCCCTGACTCTTATGGGTGTCAGTCTAGAGGACCAAATCTTTCCTGTGCAATGGCTGTGTAACTTCCACTCACGCCCTGAATGCCTGCAGCACTGAGCAGCATTGCTCCCCAGGGCTTCCTTTTAAATTTTGCCCTTTGGGGGGCAATGTTCACATTGGCTAATTCAGCATCCAAACCCAGGTGACTGATTAGGGAGTCTAGTTTGCCTAGTTTTCCCATGCTGTCCAACAGAAAGATATTGACTTATCTAAAGGGGCAGTTTAGAGCAGCTATTTCACCTGGTGCTCTTTCTGGCCACAAAGGTTATATATGACCTAATGGCCAGTCTCTTCGCGAACGAAGAACCGGGGAAGGTCTTTCCACCTTCCAGCCTGCGCATTGGATTTTTTAGGTGAGACACAGTGTGCGCGGAACTGAGCCCACCCTTTAATCCTGAGGTTCATCTGCCGGGGCCAAGCACACTTGGACAGTGGCAGCGAGGTCCTCAGGACGTAGATGGATTGCCTTACAGGCTAACGAGCTCCATCTGCCCGGGGAGGGGCCCCGACCGGGAATCGAACCCGGATCTCTGCAGTGACAGTGCAGTGAATTTTCCCCTGGACCACCGGGGGCTCCCATATATGACCTACAGCCATATACATTCCCATCTCTAGCATGCTCCAAGCAAAGGTGTAGACCAAGCAGGCACAGATAGAGCTGTTGGCCGGGCCGACTGCACCATCTGAACCCTGGGGCACGTGGGGCTGGGCTGTCCCGGCCCAGAACCTCCGGCACAGCCTGGGGAGATAAAATCCCTGTCCAAAGAACAGGAAGTTAGGTGGTTGAAGCTAGGCAGGGTGAGCATCCTGACATGTGTCATAACCTCTACCTCAGCCCTAAAGCTGTGTGATTGTGGTTATTCAGGAGCAATGCCTTGTATTGAATCCTTTCTGGCTTATATCAGTCCCGTGTATGCTTTCTGAAACCTGAGAGTGTTGTACATAGCATGTTGAACTGAGACAAATTAGTGTTTAAATGTATTTAATTAAATTGATTCTACTTTCTTACTCAGAGAGAAACTTGATAGATGTAAAACACATACCATTCGGGACTTTCTGCCCCAGAAACAGCTTTCTCACCTGTTCCATTCAGCCCTCAAATCCAGAGGAAGAGGTTTGAGGGAAGTGGAAATAGAGGACTACCTCTGTTTTGTAGGACTTCTACAGGTTAATTCAAACTTCATAAGAAACTTTATCTTGAAAAAGAGCAATAGCCACTAGTTTTTTCTATTTTTGTTTTTCCTTCTTTTGAGGATGAGTGAGCTCTGCAGAGACAACCACGGTACAGTCTTTGATCTAATAAAATAAATGCAGCATTTCTAAGGTGCTGATCCTGCAGTTGTTGTTCATATGAATAATTGTGTGAAGAGCGATCATGTATTTATGCACAGGTTAATGGATCTTTAGCTTTCAGAACAAAACAAGGGCAGTGCTCTGAAATTAATCTAATCTGTACCTGAAGTATACTCTGCAGGGAAATTTTAATTCCTGTTGTTCAGAGAGTGAAATACTTCAAAGCTGCAACTTGGTACCATAGAGCGACATTTTAAAGACAAAAGACCTGAGAAAAATATCACAGGGCTGACTTTGTACACTTTTTTCAGCTTTATATATTAAAGAAACAAATCCCTTTCAAGCTGTCAAGAGCTTTGTTTTCTGTTTCACCTTTCAGGTCCTAACTGTGACAGAGCAACTTGAGGCTGGAGTTAGATACCTGGATTTCAGGATTGCCCACAAGGCTAATGATCCATCTATGAATTTGTACTTTGTGCATATGGTTTACACAACTGTTACTGTACAGGTATTTTTCTTACCTTTGTGATGGCTATAAAACCAGTGCTGTTTCTTTTATTTAAAATCCATCATAATCTGAAAATGCTGGTCCAAGATCATCTAAGTATGTTAGAAGTATGTGAGTTGCTCCTTGCATGTGCCCTGTCATCTTGGAATACTTTACATCCTCTTTCTGTTTGTTGTGACCTGTAGAGCCAGGCACAGTCAGCTAATGCAGCTTTTAATTTGTAGAGTAACTGGCTAAACTTCAGTTTTATACTGATGAGTCTGAACCCTTCATGTGTTGAGACTTTATGGTGCCTGGCACACTCCTGTAACCAGATGTAATGTCTGACTACCTTGCTAGTTATGTGTGATCTTCATGTAGTTGCCATTGCCCATACCAAAGGGGGAAAATGAGTCCTGTTATGTTTAAGCACAGAACTTTTCCCTGTTTTTGAGTTTGCCACCAATATGTTGCTTGTCCCTAAAGAAGTTTGGGGATTTAGGTTTAGTGCTAGCCTGCCTATAGGCAGTAGGATATTCATGGATGTTATTATGTTTATGTTTAGTGTAGTGTGCTAGAATCACGTCCAGAGCAAACTGGCACGGATCTGTAAAAGCAGATTTTCGTGGGACACATCTCTCTGGAACCCCTTTTGGGCAGTCTGATGGTCATCCTCCAGAAATCTACACTGATTTTCATGGTTGTGATTGTGAATCTACTCCACCATCAATGCTCTATTGATTTTATACCCTTTCCCCTGCATAGCAGAGATAACTTCCAAAGTTGCCATAACTGTCTCCTGCAGGATACTCTGTGGAAAGTATTAAGGTGGTTGGAAGCTCATCCTCAGGAAGTTGTTATCTTAGCCTGTAGGAATTTTGATGGATTAACCAGGAGATTTCACAATCATCTTGTTGCCTGTATAAAAGAGATTTTCCAGTGTAAACTGTGTCCCAGAAATGTAAGTATGAGATCCCTTTTTTCTCCTTGTTAAAGAATGATATATTACAGTGAGATCTGTGATTCCAAATTTTTAGATATATTTTACTTTCACTGTGCTTTTAATCTAGGAAAGGTAACATTTGCTGCATCAGAGACAGGAATTGACCTAATAAAATTGAGGAGATGAAGAAAACCTACATTCCACAGTGAGAAGGTGTGCTGGTTTAAAAGTAAACCAGCAGGAGAAATGAACCCAACTCTAGACAGGTTATAAGGCAGAGTTAAAATTTACTAAAAATAAATTACAGTAGATGCAATGATACAGAAAAACCCTGGTTTTAACCAACAAAAACATATGTATAACCCCACACCCTGGGACAAGAACAGAACAGCGTTCATTGGCCCCTGTGCTGAACACCGCTTGACCACCATGGGTGCAAATTCGAAGGAAAGCAAACCTGTTGGCCCAGATGATGGTCGCAGTTCTGATTGACGTAATGATTGCAATCCTGTCGAGACTGGCAGTGGCAGTCCTGTTGGAGTTCCGGTCCTCCTCTGGATCCAACAAGTGGTACTAGAAGTCCCAAACCCCAGAGATTATACATGCTTAGGTTCAGGGGGGAATGCCCAGTAGCTCTCCCAGAGTGGGAGTGTCACAATGGGTGATTTAACTCTGTGAGTCATGGAATATTTTTTGAATCTTTGATGGTCTAGGTGTTGCAGCGGCCTATTATGCCAGTCCAGTATGGCCCATTAGCAGAGATGATCCCTCAGGCTGGGTCTCCCCAGAGGGGAGTTATCACAGCTGAGTCATTAGGTGTTCCCTGGGCAGCTGCTGCAAATGACCCATTACTAACAGTCCATCAGAAATGACACACAGAGTGTAGAATACACAGTTTTGATTATACCCACACAGTAATAAACTGGTCCTGGCCCCTGGAACTAGGACAGCAGGAGGGAGTTAAATTTGACTGTCATATATGTCAATGAACAGTTTTGGAACAACAGTAGAGACACAACTGTCATCCACTGTTGTGTGTGAGAGGAAATGAAGAGGAAAGGAAAGGTGTGTGTTATAGTATATGCTATATTTATAGAATTTAAAGAATCATTTTCTGCCTTTTCACAGCAATAATTATAAATGAATTTTTATGCTATTTATAATAGTTTAGGTTGAAAGTGACCTCTAGAGGTCATCTGGTCCTACACCACCATGCGAAATAGGACCAACTTCAAAGTTAGGTTGGGCTGTGTCCTGTCTATTCTTGAATATCTCCAAATGCGGAGATTCCACAGTCCTTCTGTGCAACATTTATTCCAACGTTTGTCCACTCTCACAGTAACAGTGTTTTTCTTCTCTATCTGATCAGAATCTGTCTTGCTGTAACTTGTGTCTGCCAACTTCCATTCTTTGCTGTGCATATCTGAGGAATCTTCTCTGCATCTCCCTATGAGGTATTTGCAGACAGCAGTAAGACCTATCCAGTCTTCTCTTTTTCATGCTGAACAGACTCAGCTCCCTCAGCCTGTCCTTGTGTGTCATGCTCTAGCCTCTGCTGACTCTGGTTGCATGCTGCTGGACTCACCCAGCACATCGATGAGTTTTTTGTACTGGGGAAGCCCCAGCTGGAAACAGTATGTGAGATGCAGTTCCACAACTGTTGAATAGAAGGGAAGAACCCGTTTTCCTGACTTGCTGTCTGTGCCTCTGCTAATACAGCCCAGTTTACAGTTAACCTTTGCCACATGGGCACACAGCTGGCTCACGTGCAGCTTGATGTCTACAAGAACTTTCAGGTCCTTTCCTGCAAAGCAGATTTCTAGCCAGCTGTCCCCAATCTGTCCTGCTGTGTGGGGTTAATCCATTCAGGTGCAGCTCTTTGCATTTGCCTTTGCTGAGGTTCATGAGGTTTCTGTCAGCCTGTTGAGGTCCCTCTTAATGGCATCTCTGCCCTCAGTGCATTTCTGGTGGCATTGACTTTTTTCCTGGAGCTGACCTTCCAATGAGATTTCAGTCATCCAAACTTCCAGAAAAGCCTTAGTTTAAATAATTAGAAAATGATTGATTGATAGATTTTAGAAGTTGAGATTTTTAGCTTCCTTTTTTTTTTTTTTTATGAGGTGTGGGAGCTTTTAGTAGTTAAACAATTAACATTTCAAAGATGCACAGGAACAGAGGGTTTTCTCTGGAGATGTAAGTGGTACAGGAGAATGATGACCCTGTTTGTGATTCAAATCCAGCCTTTGAAGCTGGTGTATAAGTAACGGTGAGTATTACCATTTCAAAGCATTTTGTACAGCAGAGTTAAAATAGAACAATTCTCAGCAAAACTAGGGGATTCTGAATATTCAGGCCTCAGCTGAATAACTGAAGACCTGAGTGACACTGTTCTATTGTTTCCCCAAATAATTTGAGTGTGTAGGTTGTGGATGAGCAGAGTGATACTCGAGATGGTCAAATTTGCTTTCAGATACATGGTCAGAAAAGAGTTACTGCAAAAGGGGCGAGCTGCTGCTGATAGTTTGTTGAACAAAGGTGTTGAAAGAATGGTTTGAGATCACTTCACTGAGGAAAGAACATTTCTGAATTGTGTCCAGGGGAAGGGAGGAGTGGCACTGGAGAAAAGACAAGCCAAGTACTTCCCTTGAGCAGGAAGACTTTATGGGGTCTGTGACCAGCACAGTGGATCTCACCATTTTTGCTGGTGGTACCACTGCAGGTTTGCCAACTGTGGGGTTTCTCAGGATCACAGATTCAGATTTCATATCAAATATCGAAGTGTTTGCTCACTTATTTTAAAATAAACTGCTATCTGTTGTCTTTTAATACTGTATCTCTGTAGCAGTAGAAGAGTAAGTATGAAGTGTTTATGAAGCAGTTGCTATGTTGAGGTCTGTATGTAGTACTGGCACAGGCCACAGCGTGACAATATTACATTGTGCTTAAAATTTTAATTGCCTTAACTATTCAAGGTGTCTTCCTTTGATCTGGATTACTAGGGTTTAAAAATCCCTTGTCAGACACCTACAGTTTCATTTCTGCTTTGTTTGCAAAATAAGCACCTGTGCTCACGTACACATTTCTAGTAGCTTTTTTTTTTTTTGCTTTTATTCCACAACTTTTTGTTTGTTTGTTTGCTTAAGAGGTTCTAGCTTTAGAAAGGCAGCTGGAGTAAAGCAAAGGCTCAGTCAACCACAGAGTTTTGTAGTGCTTGTGCCTTAATTTTGCAGTATTTTCTGGCCTAACTGGGTCTTGCATTCTGTTTTTCTTGGATGAAATAAGAGGGATTCTTATGTTCATTCAACCCTTGGCTTTCTTCAAATATTTACGTAAATGATTTTCAACTGCCTTTGGCTTTTATTTTAATTAATAAGTTAATTGGAACATCAAAAAGCCACCATTTCCTTTTCATAAGCAGCAGACATAGCTTTTAACCACAACATTCTTTGGAAAAACAATGCCTGTTAAATATGTTGGTTTTGCTATTAAACTAGTCAGAGGGCCTCAATTCTCTCCAGTGGTAACATTTGAAGGCTGGAAAATGTCATTTCACATTAAGATACTTGAATTTAACAGATCTGTTTCAGCCCATCTATCTGTCAGAGAAGGTTTCTGACTCAAGTCTTCCTCTCTCTCAATTCAAAATGTCTGGAGCATCCCAATTTCAGAAACCTTCCACTTAAAGAAATCAGAATTAATGTAGCTCTTGGAGACTGACATTTAATCTTACCAAGTTTTAAGCAGTTCACTTTTCTTTAATGGCTACAGTGCCAAATACGCATCAGTGTGGGGCATTTGCCAAAATGATTCCTGCTTTTCTGTGTCTGTGTCTGCATTCTTACAGTTGCGTGTAGGGCTGACACAGGGATGGCTATGCAGGTGTAAGACCTTCAGTTATGTACATTATCATAGTTGAATTGAGGAAAGGGGGAATTTGCTGAAGTAACCAGGCTCCTATTGCCCCTGCAGCTTGTAACCCAGCCCATGGCCTGCCGGGCTGCTTGTTCAAAAGCTTTATCTGAACTGAATCTGTGCCAAGGTAATGTCACACAACAGTATTCGAACTTTGGGAACACTGGTTGTGTTGCTCACTTCAACCTAGGCATGCTTCATTTTAGGTGACACCAACACTGAGGACCATGTGGCATCTTGGCCATCAGGTCATAGTCTCGTATGAAGAGGACGTGGAACTGAAGGAGCACTGTGAGCTGTGGCCCACGATCCCATACTGGTGGGGAAACAAAACGTCCACTCGTGCTCTCATCCGGTATTTAGAGCGCATGAAGCGGAGGGGCCGTCCAGGTAGGCACAAGGAGGGGCACTTACAGCAGTGCAAAACAAATAGGAAGCTGGGTGACTGTAACCTTCTGAGGTATAACCTGTTTGTGTGTGCTGTGTGCCCGTGGTTGCTGAGTGCTCTGCCCAGCCACGGGTGAGTGCAGTGTTTGCCTGTGGTGATGTATCAGTGTATGTACATGCATAGACCGTATAAATTGTGCAGCCACATCGCTTGTGTGATCCCACGCAAAGGAGACCCTCAGCACAGACCAGCTCAGTGGCCCTGTTGTACCCATCTCACGGGTAGGACACAGCTTCCTCAGTCCAGTGCTTGCTGCTTTAGGTGTACAGATGATGAGAGAAATGCATTCTGCTAGCTTTGTGAAAAGAAATCCCTATAGGCTTTCTCTGAGGGGAGACCTTATTGCTCTCTATGACTACCTGAAGGGAGGTTGTAGCAAGGCAAGGTTCAGCCTCTTCTCCCAGGCAACAAGTGACAGGACAAGAGGAAATGGCCTCAGGCCTGTGCCAGGGCAGGTTCAGGTTGGACATTGGGAAGAATTTCTTCACTGAAATGGTTGTTAAGCATTGGAATGGGCTGCCCAGGGTGGTAGTGGAGTCATCACCCCTGTAAGTGTTCAAGAAACAACTGGATGTGCCACTTAGTGTTGTGGTTTAGTTGTCATGGTTTGATGTTTGGTCGAAGGCTGGACTCAATCTTGGAGGTCTTTTCCAACCTTCTGATTCTATGATATAAGGACAGTATGTGGAGGGTGTAGTTGCACCAGTAAATAGCAGCACTTAAACATGCCCTTGTAGTGTAATCTGAGAGAAACTGAGCTCGTAACATCTGATGTAGCTTTTGACGGGAATGCACAGGGTGATAAAGGGGAGAGTTGTTTCAAAAGCGAGCTCTCCAGCCAAAGAAAAATGCTCATGTGGTGCGCCCTTTGTTTCCATCCATCATGGGGGAGGGCTAAGCATTTGGAAGCAACCCTCACAGAAACAAACATAATTTACAAAGGAGAAGTAGGTAGACAAATTTAGCTAAACTGGAATGGTTAGATAACCAGGTATGTCTCAGGAACTGTTTACTACAGCATGAAGCTGCAACAAGGGGAGACAGTCTGCTGAATCAGTTGTAGGAATATGAAACAATACAGAAAGAGCGTGAAGTTAAGTATTTTAATGATTCCCACTGGAACAAGATCTGAAGCTAATGCAATACTGAGCAGTTTCTGTTCTCCTTAAAAGAATATTTAATGTGTCACTTTCTGATTTTTGTTTCAGGAAAATTTTTTGTAGCAGGGATTAACCTTACTGAAAATTTAGGGTATATTCTCCTACACCCATTTGGATCATTGAAGAAAATGACACTCCGGAGTCTTCCATGCTTGAAAATCTGGATAAAGCAGCAGTATCCAGGACCAAAAAAAGAATGTATTAACATAATTGCTGGAGACTTCATAGGAAACAATGATTTTGTCAAAGATGTGATAGAACTTAACACAAAAATTAATCCTCCATTAGACTGTCAAAGTAGAGAAGCTGGGACAAATAGCATTTCATTCTTTGCTTCTTAGTCTGTGAAAAGCTGAAAAGGCTTTGTCTGCATTTAATGTGCTCTTCTGTAAACATCCTGAATCCCATAAAGGTCTAGTTTACTTAAACCAGGGGTGCTTTAAAGGCTCAGTAAGAAAAGGTCTCTCAACATCAACAGAGTTGCAAGACCTCTGGACCTTGCTGAAGTCTCTAGAAAATTATGTTATAGGTGTAATTTATTTGGATGGGTTTTGATTCTGTAGCAGCAGACAATATTGAAAGTCCCAATAATTTAATCTTATTTTACATATGAACAAGAAGGAGAAATATGTCAGTAGCTGCATGAATTTAGTGATTTTATCTTTCTTGTGAGGATATTATGCATTACTTGCATCCCCAATTCTTACTCTTTTATACCAGTGTGAAACTGACTTGTCTGTTTTCACAGTTTAAAAGGAAGTTTAAAAATATTTTTGATATATCAAAGGTACTGTATTGACAATCCAATTTGACATGATTTTATGTATACACCAATGTGTTGAGTATCAGTTGTGAACTGCCTTACTGACAGTCACAAAATTATTTATGATTTGTAAGCAGTATGTGTACACTTATTTGTACCAGTTCTGAAGTGACAGATACCAAAAATAGGCCCCTAGGCAGTTTTGTCTGTGGCAAATGTTTTATTAGGTGTTGCCAAAGTATGCCTTACACTGAAAATAAACAGAGGAAACAAATTTCTTATCTAAATTCACAATGCTCTAGAAATACAGGTTCTTCACTTCTGTCATGCTCATTTGGGGTTTCACACCTGATCTTTGATTTAGCTATTTTAATAGCTCTATAATTATATTCCCTCTCCCTAAGTAAGTAAGTAATTTTTGCTTATGTGAAAACTAAGGGGTTTAATGCTTTTTGCTATTGCATATTAATTCTGTTTTTCTAAATGAACTGTGCAATAACAGATGATCACGAAGGCAAGAGAATAGCAAGCATCAGAACTAAAACAAAAACAGTCATTCTGTAAAACTGACTATGCAGCTTCATCTATATACCTCACTTTTTAGATGCACTTTATATGCAAAAGCTAAGTTCAGATGTCTGACAAGATGCTCATGTTTGCAGAAGTCTTAAATCAATTGCTACTTACCATCGTATCAAACTCTCTCCAGACTGCTCAGAATGAGAGGGTAAGATGCAACTTCTTCACGGAATCTCTTGCAATTGCAGAATACACAGGAGTAAAAATTGAACATTGCATTTACGAGGAAGACTTTCTAAATTCTTTTTTTACAGTACTTTGCATCCTGTTCTTACTCTGTGTACTTCTCCATTTTTATGTTACAGGTACTAAGAATGTTCTTCTGCCTATCTTTTGTAGCCTCGTTACTCTAATAAAACTTGATCTCTCAGTGTAATATGGACTGAAATAGTTTTGTTCCTCCTTTCTGTGATATTGTTTTATTGGTTTCCAATAGTAATTAAGAACTCAAGTAATAGATCAGTTGTGATAGGTTTCTTTTTGTTTTCATTTGTGGAAAGGTTTGCTGTACCTTAAATGTCTTCTCCAAGAACTGACACAGTAATCAGTATTTGGGATAAATTATTGCAAACAAGAAAACTGCATGGATAAAAGGTGTTCATAGCTACCTTTATTCAATACTTTAATATACAAATCTGTGGAGTTTTTGCTTCACTGCAATAAGACATGGCAGTTATTTTATTCATTTTCATGCATCCTGCTTGAATACATACTTATTTATATACAACAACATTTTGCTCACCTACTTTCATTTTCCAAAGACCATCTGAAACAACTGTAATAAATATTTTATTCTGAAAAAGGAGGTAAAAAGCTTTATTTATATGATATAAGAAACTTGGTACTTTTCTGAAGGTTAAGTCAGATGCCATTCCATGTGTTTGAGGTCCACAGCTTATAGCCAGTAACAGTTTTAACATAAAAAAATTTAGTATTGTCCTTGCACTTGCTGATAAAATTAAGCTCAAAGCTCTTATTGTTTCCAAACAGAAGTTTTCTGAAATAGTGTCCATTTCTGAAATGTGTCAGAAACACCAACAGGGGAAGAAAAATAATCTCCTCAATACTGTGACTAACAGGTCATTAACTTCATTTTGCATCCTTCTAACGATACCAGTTTCTTTTCTTAGAAAACGATGCAGTTTCATGACATGAAAATCTTACTGTTGGGAAAGAGGTTTTTGTATTTGCCCAGAGCAGAACTGCTGATTATCACCTTCACCCTGGCTGTGCCATCTTCAGGCATGACTTCTACTTCCTGAACTGTTGCTTCTTTATATAGCCAACTGTAAAAGTAAAAACATATTAGCATCTTAAAGGTATGACACACTGCATAAAATGTCATCTTTGGTTTAGGTCAACACGTTTTATCTAGGTAATTTAACACTTTAAAAGATGAAGTGCTTTGCTTCACTTCTCCAGGGTATCTAATAAGGCTATTTTTTTCAATAGGTCAGAAAATGTTGATAATTATATCTGTTATTCTTAAGCAGATTAAAATCAGTATGATATGATTTGTAAGGTTTAGGACATGCACAACTAAGTGTTTCATATTTCTTCAAATCCTTCATACAATTCAAAATTATTTACCTTAGCTGAGGTCCCTCTAAGTTGACGGTAATTGTCAGAATCTTCCCTGTTGCTGTCAGTATTTTCTTCTCTATTTCTTGTTTCAGTTCTTCTAAACCATGCCCATGTAGAGCAGAAATAGCTAAAGTATTTTCTTCAGTGGGTTTATACCTGAAAGAAAATAATTGCTAGGACATTTGTTCATGAAGATTAGATTGTGAAAATATTCCAAACTCAATTTTAACTGAATTACTTTATACTGGCACCTTCAACAGAGGCCAATTCTTTTATGACTCAAGTGATTTCTTTGGTAATTAAAAGAAAAGTAATTCTTTTTAAGACCATAGTTACATATGTAAAAGATTGAGAAACACTATTAAATGTATTCTCAAGTGTGGGAGCTCTTCTAGACTACGAATTAAAAAGTTTCCAGAACATAAGAAATGTTTAAGTACACTTAGCATCTCCTGCTTACCTTTCTATCAAGTCCACTTTGTTATGAACTTCTACTATTGAGTCCAGTAAACGGCTGGGAAGATTAAGATTCTTCAGAACTGACAGAACAGTTGCTTTCTGCAGGATGGTTTCTGGATGAGTAATATCCCTCACATGAACTATCAGATCCTAGCAAGGATCAATATAAAACACCACTTACCAGGTTGTAGAGATTTTACACCATTTTTGTATTGCTTATTCATTTAAGATACTTCCCTATCCACTAGGTAATACACTGTCAGGTTAGCACTGTAAAATTAACTACTAAAACAGTATTAAACCAATTCTGTTTCTTATACCATGATGGAAGAAAATCTGTAGCATCTTAGTATTCCACTTCACATTGAGTACAAATTGCCTCCAACAAACCTGAAACAAACCCTGTCAATCAAGCTAGCTACAGTTACAATTCATATTTCAAGTAATAGCTGATCCATTTTTTTCAAAGACAAGGCTGTGTAACAATAAGGCTTCACAAACACCAGAGGAGAAAAGACTGAACCCTAAAAAGCACTTTTAGAGGAGTAATGGCTGAAAACCTGTTTCAAAAATGGAGGGAAAAACCCCCACATAACTTGTAATTTTATTTTTACATTCAGAATGTAGAAGATTATCCTTATGCTTAGTTCTCAGGATACTATTACTGGTGCTTCAACTAAAAAGCTTTATACAAAAGTTATCAGTTTCAGGTACATACACAACCATGTTTGCCATGATAAAAACCAAGCAACCAAATTCAATATTTGCGTTCAAAATGTTTCATCATCTTTGCTCAAGACACTGCTTTAAACTTCTGGAAAATTAGTATGAAATATATTTCTTGCCTTTCATTTAACACTTCAGAGAAAGACAAACAGGACAGTTTCAGCCAGGTTTTGAAAGCCCTGCTACTACATGGTGAAGTCTAATCCTCAGAAGCATTCTAACATCCAGTGACCACTGAATTTAATTACCTTTGATGATACACGATTTTTGTTTAAATGTCTGTGTGTATTTATGCAGCTTTACACTTTGCTATAACACAGGAAAATAATGAGAAAATAACTGGAAAAGTACATTTATGTTAATTACATGCTGCTTGCATCGCATCACAATCACCCACTTTTAGTGCTATAGGAAACCTTAAGTTAAAACCAGCAGCTTTATTTAATTTTTAACTCCCAAGAAAGCTAGTCTCAACTCACTCAGGTGCACTGGTAAGATATTTAATCAACAAAATCTGATTTATCTGCCTTACATATAATGGCGAAGGGCACATATATTCCAAATAAGCCCTTTCCAAAATCTCTTCATATCTGTATGTTCTGCATAATTTCCAGCATCAGAAAATTGGTTTACTGTAAGATATATGCCTCATTATCTTAGGAAACTATTATAGTCAGCCAGATGCTTCACTAAGAACAGCATATCAATTAACTTCCCCTTTTTTGAAGGGGGGAGGATTATCTAATAGGAAATTAATTTGATTTCTCAATTTTTACAATCAACTACTTACTGAGTAAGCCACTTCTTCTAATGTAGCTGAAAAGGACTCAACCAGATTATGGGGAAGATCAGTCAGAAACCCAATGGTGTCAACATAAATAACTGCCATATGTGAGGGCAGAGAGCCAGCATGGGCTGTAATATCGAGAGTGGCAAACAGCTGATCCCTGGGTTGAAGTCCTGCTTCCCCAGTCAAGGCTTTGATCAAAGTAGTTTTTCCTAGTTAAATAAAAAAAAGGACAAGATTTTGATGGCTTGTTTCAAGTAAAAATCTCATTTGCAAGACTTAGGTGAATTGTATGATGTAACATATTTTCTTATCTGCTTTAGTAATTTTATTGTAGCTTGTGATCAGTTATCTATATGATGTTAGGAAATCCAAAGACAGTCTTGTAACTCGGAATTGGGTTTAAGGTGAATGTATGGCAGCTACGCTGTGAAATCACAAGGTGATCAAAGACTGATTTGATCTGTAAAGTGACCTACACACAGCTTCATGCAAGGTAAATTTGTTTTTATAAAGTTGTTGAATAAGAAAATGAAATGGTCTTAAGATAATGTAACCTGGAAAAAAGCGTCTAGTCCAACGTCTGTTTATGCCTTGTGTAAGAATTCAATTTTTTTTTCCCCAAAAAAACCAACCCCAAACCACTTTAGCTTTATTTATATTCTTTTAGGAACACAGAACACTACACATAATCCATGAAAAGCTACAGTGCTTCTTAAGCACATTTCTCAGATCAACTGCCAACTCTTCTCAAGCCTTCACGGTGATCTAAACACCCATGTACTTTTCTCTACCCATTCTGATCAAGTAGTAGAGTCTCATATAAAGAGACACTAACACTACAGTCTTCAGCACAATATATAAAATCTTTTTGGCACAATAGGTGCTAGGCATTTCTCCAAAACATGTCTCCAAGACTGAAAAAACCAAGCAGCTTAATTTGCTTTCCTAACTGTAACCTAACTGACATAAATTCATTACACAGTTTAAAAACTAATTAAAATGTGAAGCCTATTCGCACAGAAATGAAATTCTGGCTAGAGTTGCTAATTAAAAATTAGACAATGTAAGCTCTTTCATGTTACAGTTTCAAGAGGTTTTGCTTACCACAGTTAGTATAGCCCATGACTGAGATCACTGGAAACTCGCGTTTTCTGCGCTGAGTTCTAAGTAAAGACCTTTTTCTTCTTAGTTTTTCCAGGGCATTCCTAATTTTAAGTTCTCTTTCTTTCAAGATACGATTCTGTGTTTCCATAAATGTTTCGCCTGAAAAATACAGGTGAATAATTGGCCGAATAGTTTACAAGAGAAAACGAAGTAAACTAAGTGCTGTGCATTTGGAAAGCGAGTGAGTTAGCAGTAGGGAATATGAAGTTAGAAATAAGCAACTAAAGCTATGTATTCTCGACTAAGAATCAGAGTAAGTAAATTAAAATATACGCTAAGTACTTCAGAATATCCATGTACACATACGAGAAACCCCTGTGGCAGGAAATAGTCTGTCCTTGGCCATTTCCTGAGAAAGTACAGACCAAAACTTTATTATTTAACTTACTTTGTACATTTGCCTAATTAGATGCAGAACATGCAGAACACAATTTTTCTTCCTGACCTCCTCCAAAGAAAGTAAGATGCAACTAAATTTGTTTAAAGGATATGGAGGAAAAAAAATCCTCTAATTCATGAGAATACTTAGACTTTACCTGAGCCCATGATATATCTTGATCCACCTCTCTGCTGATCTCGCTGAGACACCTCATTTTTCAGATTTGACCTGGCAGCAGAGTAACAATTAACTAAAATCAATTTTCTTTAATTGAGCTATCCTAAAATGCCTAAAAAATGTGAAGCAGTAGTGATATTCTGATAGTACAAATAAACACAGCAAATGACTGAGCTGTAAATAAAATCTCCTCACGGCAAGAAGCCCGGCAAAAAAAAAAAATCCTGATTTTCCTGGCTCAACTGTGATTTGATGAAGCATGCAACTCTCTCAGCAAATTGTAATTTCTACTCTGAAATTTCAGAGAGTCAAAGATACCTCTGATGCATCCCCACAACTCTCACCAACTGCCATGTACACATTTCTATGCCACGTAATGCAGAACTGTGGAAAATTCAGACACAAATGAATGCCTTTAATCTTCCTTGTTTATAGCTTTCCTTATTAAACCCATCAATATTATATATTGGATACACGTATCCATTTCCTACATATTCCTGCAATCCATCTTCCATTTTAGAAAGAACTGGAACCTTTTCATGATAAATACATTTTTTAAGACTATCTATTGAACACTTTCTGTTTTTGCCTGTCAGCTTAAAACAATGAAATTATAGCAAACACTTCTATTTTCTAATCAATATATGCAAGCACTATAACAGTAATTTTTCTTTACAGTACTGTAAAGAAAGTATTGCTATTTTTGTTACTGTAAAGAAATAGTCACTAAAATGTGTAAATATCAGTATGTGATTTGCACAGCTCGAGGTACCTGAGAAGTGGAATTTCGGCCAAAGCTATCTGCAGTTTTGCTTCTTTAGTCCGGGCATTACAACGAAAAATGTGAAGTACAATGGTGTATCTGTCAAAGACTTTCACGCCCCAGGCACCTTCTAGTTCTTTCTTTAGCCATGTAAGACAAAATAACTGAGATGTCTTCTGTCCCTCACAGTATCACTAGATCATTTCCTACACAGCACTACACTTACAGTTAGCTGATGGACACTTGAACTCAGAGGATCTCAGGATTCCATTTCAATGGATAGGCAAGGATTATGAGCATGCAAAGGCAAAATTTGGTTGACCACGAAGAAAGGAGTTAAGAAGAGAGTTTAGAAAGTAGAACTTTATGTTTAGGCCCATCAAATTCAGCGAGAATCCTTCCATTGCCTTTAATGGATTCTGGCAACAACTCTTCCAGCATTATCTCATAATCAATCTCAGCGGTTAGGTCCTTGTAAAAAATAATTATGAAATGCTGGAATGGGAAAGGATAGGGATAACATAGGAAAATAAGAAGAAAAAGATTACTAAAACTTAAAAAAAAATAGAGAGGAAGGCAGGGATAATATGTAATAATAAGATTTTCACAAAAGACTTAAACCCCCCAACTAATCAAAATCCTTCACCCTTAATCTAATTCAGCACTTAAAAGTATGCAGTAGTTCCCCTATGCCATCTCTAAAATTCAGAATGCTTGTGTATCCATATTTATATATACACATATTCTCAAACACTTTCTTGAATCAAGTCTGTTTAATTGCTCTAAAGATCTAGACTTGTGAAAATAATAAAAAAAGAAGAGCAAATCTTGTACTAAAAGAACTCTGAGAATAAAAACTAGGAAATTGAAATGAAAAAATTTCAACTTCCCTTTCATCAACAAATGAAGTGCTTGAGCTAACCATCTGTTAGAGATATTTACCATCTCTTCATTTTATAATCAGGAAAAGCATTCAAAACTACCAGCAAAGCATTAAGGTTTGCTTGCAGAGTTTGCATGCATTTTACACCCTGCATGATGCTATGCATACAAAAACCCAAAAAAGTTTTTATTTCAGTTGTCTGAAAAAAAACTATGCACCAATAGTTTTACTGCCAGTGTTAAAAAAAGAAGTATGCTCCACCCCTCAACATTTCTTTTTAAGGGTTAGGAATGAAAGTTTAAATATTTGAAACATTAAAATGTAATCTTGTTCTGAATTTACACCCCATATTCAAATTACAGTTGAGCATCCACTGAACTAAAAGAAAATAAAGACATTATCCAGTACAGGTACAGACACTCGAGCATACAGCTATTCCAAAATGTTGTTCTTCATAAAACCACTGTGTTGTGAACAAGACCTTGAGTAACTTTTCCAACATTTTAACTAGGGCAGTGGCAAATGTGGGAGCTGAGTCTGTAACAAATGATACTAGGCTGCTGGAAAATTCCATGCACAAGAGCTGGCAACAGATACATCAAGTGGATGCAGTGGGGATTAAGTTTCCTTTCAACAAAACACAGTCCTGTGCCTTCATATATTACCTCTTGCAAATTCAGAGTCATAACTGACCACTTCTCGTAACATCAATAGCTTCCAAACAATACCAATGTAAAGAATATTATTTGATATTACATTCAGTTACCTTTGTCAGTGAAGATATTCTTTCCACATTCAAGAAGACAGCTGTGAGGTTTGGCAATTTTTTAATCTTTTCTGAAAGATAACCATTGCAAAATATAGAGCTAAATGTAAATTCTCTTTTTAAAATTCCCAGACCATAAACCATTTTGCACTGAGCAGAACGTTCATAAAACACCAAATGGCACCATTTTCTTTGTTCACGGAACAGTTGTAATTGCACTAATTTAGTACTGTGCCAAGAACAGTTGCCAGTTTCACTTACGTCCATCACACAAACGTACTAAGTTGGCTTGCATATTTGCTGTGAGCACAAGTTACGCCTATTCTGTATTGCTTTTGAAACCTTAAAAAATTATCTGAAGTTTGTCTGCAAACATGCATGATGGATAAACAAAATTCTCCCTCTATTCAGCTTTCACACCTATCCTTAAACAGCTTAGCTGCAAAAGTCTTGCATTCAGAATGATTCAGCGCTGAAAGATCTCAGTCCTTACCTGTCAAAACCTGAAAGTTTCCTTTGCCAAAAACAAACTTCTTGTCAGGATTTTTTGTAGGAATAATTATTTTATCTAATACCGTCCAATTCTGAAGAGTATCCACAAGAGCGACGGCCTCAGCAATCTGTAATTCAGCTTCAGGAACATAACAAAAATAAAAAAGAAAAAACAAAGATTACAATGTACCATCATAACTCTGCTCAGCTCTCCAATAGCTACAGTACATGCATGAACATGGAAAGACTACACTACACTGAAATCCTACTTGGGTATTTATTTTATCCTCTAGCACAAAGAGTAAAATGTCTTACCCCTAATCAGAGTAATTGAATAGTCTGATGCAATTTTATCACACAAAGCATCTTTTTGCCAGTAGAAATTATTTTTGTGGTTGTTGATTTAGAAGAATTTTTTAATTGTACTAACAGAAATTACAAAGCTTTTTGGCTCAACAAGTGAAAAGAATAACTAGCTGGAAAATCGGATATTTCAGACGAGCACAAAACCATGTGATTAACACCTTGGTGTTTTGAGGCAATATTTTAAGAAATACTATATACGGCATATCCTGCTGCTTAGTTCACAGCCACTTATTCATAAAGGACCTACACTGGTTTACGACTTGCTAGAACCAGCAAATTCCAATCCTCTATTCTGGTGCATCACTTATTTTTTGAGGATTTTGTAAAACTGACTGAAAAACACTACATGTGCACATCAGATCAGTAGATTCAGTTTTGATTTGCCAAAATTTTCATTTTCTCATAACAGATTTATCAAGTCTCTCTAGATAGCAAAACGTAATTTATATACTAAGGAGGTTACCTTGGTCCAAAAGGTAATATATTTTTAAAGATAACCATGATCCGCTTTCTCCTCATATTGTTAGTATTTCTTGTAAAACGCAAATGTTTCCTGTTCTATCTTTGGTGTTTCAACAATGATTCCAAAACATTTTTTCAGACTTCAGGCTCTTCATCTGGAGGGCCTCAATAAATGGAAAGGGATCACTGCTATTCTTCTGTATGTTCGGACAGAAAGGTGCCTTCATATTTTACTTATTTTTCAGTTGTAAAATAGGAGTGCTTCCATAAATTCTGAGAAGGTTATAAACTTTATTTGCAATGTGACAATTTGTTATAATTAGCAGCACTAATAAAATTAAATGACATTTTGGTTCATCACATAATAAATTTGAATACAAGAATAGATATCATATATAAATTGCCTATTGCCATCCAGAGGGGCCTGGACAAGCTCTAGGAGCTGGCCCATGTGAATCTCATGAGGTTTAACAAGACCAAGTGCAAGGTGCTGCACCTGGGTCAGGACAACCCCTGGTATCAATACAGGCTGGCGGATGAACAGCTCAAGAGCAGCCCTGCCGAGAAGGACTTGGGGTTGCTGATAAATGAGAGGCTCCTCATGACCTGGCAATGTGTGCCTGCAGGCCAGAAAGCCAATCCTGTCCTGGGTTACATCAAAAGCAGCGTGACCAGCAGGTAAAGGGAGGTGATTCTGCCCCTCTACTCTGCACTGCTGAGACCCCACCTGCAGCACTGCATCCAGCTCTGGAGTTCCCTGCACAGGACAGACATGGACCTGTTAATGCAGGCTGAGGGGAGGGCCACAAAGATGATCAGACAGGTGGAACCCCTCCTATGTTGCTGACAGAAGTGGTAGAGGGCCTATTCCTGGAAACATTCAAGGCAAGGTTGGATGGGGCTCTGAACAACCTGGTCTAGTGGCAGGTGTCCCTGCTTACTGCAGGGGGGTCACACTAGATGACCTTTAAAGGTTCCTTCCAACTTAAACTCATCTATGATTTTGTACCTAAAAAGCTAACTTAAAAGATGCTTAATACTTTCTGTTGCAACTTTATAATTAGAGTTTGAAGAGTAGAATCAAAGACATCACATATCTTACCTGTGCAAGATCAGAGCATATGTATTAGCTAGCTACAAGGATTTCTGAGAGAAATCTAGTAGCATTCCTAAATAAGGTCCTTACAGAGGAATTATTGGTGACTGCATCACTAAGTAACTGCATAAAACCAATTAAGTCCCTGAGAGGACTTATACAAAACTTCATCTTCTCTGCACTCTCTTCTCTGGACAGTAGAACACTTCTGCTCTTCAGCCAACTGCTGGGCAAGCCTAAGGCCAAGGGTCTCCTGCCCAAATGGCCAGGCAGCACGGTTCAGGGCTGAAGGCTATTACCATTCCGCTAATGAGGGGGACACGCAGCTGTTTCCCTAAGGAACCTGCGCGCTCCTGCGCTGAGGTGTTTTGCCGTCCAAAATGCAAACTTAGTATGACTCAGAAGTCAAAGCACAGATCTGTCAACTCTCATTGACAGCTCCTTGCCTTTTTAAAAGTTGTCAAAGAAGGAAAGAACGACCTAGACCTTTTACCCGAGCTTGCATTTTACAAACAGCATTTCGCAGTTTCTCTGCTGTAATAGCGTGTCCACTTCACACTATGGCACTAATCACGGAATCAATTAGGTTGGAAAAGATCTCTGAGAACATCGAGTCCAACCTGTGACCGAACACCCCCGTGGCAACTACACCAAGGCACTGAGCGCCGCATCCACTCATTCCTTAAACACCTCGAGGGGCGGTGACTCCACCACCTCCCAGGGTGGTGCATTCCCAATCCCCTGGCTGTATTCCTGCGCCCGCCCCCCGCAGCCCCGCACCCGTGGTGAGCGGCGACTTCCTCGGGCCCCACTTGACCGCGGGGTGCACGATGAAAACGCGCTGCGCGCCGGGCTCCAGGGCCAGCGGAGAGGGGCCCAGCAGCTCCTCCAGCTCCGCCTCATCCTCGTCTTCTTCTTCTTCCCCCTCCTCCTCCTCCTCCTCTTCTTCTTCTTCTCTTCCATGCCCGCCGGTCCCCGCCGCCCCCTTGCGCCGCCCCCCGCCGCCCGTGCCCGGCGGGCGCGGAGCCCCGAGCCGAGCGGCGGCGCTGAGCGGGCGGGTGGGCAGGGGCCGGCGTTGCCAGCGGGCAGCGCCCAGAGCCGCCGCTGCCGCCCGCCGGCAGCGCAACAGCAGCAGCAGCGACCGCGAAAGCATCCCGGGCCCCATCGACTCCTCCGGGCACGGCGGGGAGGGACCGTCCCCGGCCGCGTCTTTCCGGCCGCCGCGGAAGCGCCGCCCGCCCGTGTGACGGCGCTCCCGCCCCTGCCGGGCCCAGGCGCGGCCGTGATTGACGCCGGCACCGCGCTGGGCCCGGGCCCGCCGCGCCGGGGGAGCGCCCCGGAGGGACAGCGACGGCGTCGGTGGGTTCAGTTTCTTGCTCTGTTTCATACTCCTCTGCGGCCGCGGGGAGGGAGGGGCTCTCTGCCTCGGTTTGCCTGGAATTAACTCCCTTTGTTTTCCTTTCATGACAGTTTTCGGCTCCTGTTTCGCCCGCGAGAGCCGTAGGGATAAGTTTTTAAGGCTCCCGATCTCGGTGAAGTTCCTTCAGGAGGTCGTGTCAACTTTGCTGTCTGTGCTGCTGAAAGAATGTAGAGGAAATGATAGCCGAGCCCAACGCAGCCAGCAGCCTTCCCAGCCAAAAGTAAGACCTGGCGCAGGTTGCCTATAAAATTTATTTGGTAAATTAGGGTGCTGTCCCGTGGGTTTGTGTCTTGCTGATACCGCGGCAATCACAGTGTGTCATTTTGGGTGGGAGGGGGGAAAAAAAGGGATTTGCTGTGCCCTGTGTCTTGTTACTAATGTTTTCATTTTATTCCCTTTTACGCATTGTTTAGCATCCTCTTAGTGTAGTGCTTTATGCTGTTTGAAAGGGATCTGGGCCTTACAAGCTTTTCTATGCCTTATTCACTGCAGTGCAAATGAACCTACTTTGAAAAAAAGAAAAAGGCAGATTCATGGTCAGTGCATGTGTTTTCCTCAGTGGTGAATTTGGGGATGCTGAGGGGCAAGAGTACTAAGTAATCTGTAGGCTCCCTGTTGGGACTGACGGGGGAGCATAGCTGTTTTTGTAGGGATCTAGTCTTCTCCCTCTTATAATGTGTTTTTCAATCATCAGTTGAGATGATTAAAGTATTCATACTTACAGAATGATAATTAGAAGTTCTGCTAGAGCGGATATAAATAAATAAATGGTAAAGTTAAAACATTTGGGCATATCTTGTTTGATTTCAAAGAGTGAAGTTTCTTAGATGTCCAGTGTTGCGTGCTTTGAGCTCACTGCAGCCCAGTCTTTGCCGACCCTGTCACCTGAGCCAGTTTGCTCCAGGTATTTTACTTCATTGTGCTCTTTAAGAGAGCTGAGGGAGTTGTAGTCCATGATGACAGTTAATATAGCTTCCCAGATGGCTTTTCAAGTATGTTTCATCTGAAACCAGCCTTTTAGCTTCAGAAGTGTCCTGAAGGCACCTGGCATTTGTTTAGTGGAGCTTCTTATGTTGCTTCTTAAAGTTGAAACACTTGTGTTGAAATTTATAATTTAAAAAATCTACGTGTAGGATTCTTGCAGTAACGCATATTTTCTTTTTACACAGCTGAAGGAATAATGTTATCTTTTAGGTAAACAGGTAGCTTTCTTTTTAAGTGTTAGTCACCAAATGTTCCAAAAGTGAATTCAGAAGTTATCACGGTAGTATTATGTTTGACGCCTAGACGTAGGACTTGGCTTCCTTCCTACTTCAGGTGTTTTATCTCATCAAGTGCTAGTGAAAGGACCGTGTTGTGGCAGCAATGCAAGGTAAAAATGAGTCTCTGAGCCTTAAGTAACCAGGCATAAAGGTGAAAATTAGGATGAGATAGGAATGAAATTTTCCTTTTGCTTTATTACTGATTGCTGATGGAAGCAAACTAAATGGCTCAGAGCTTTCTTCCAATGCTTGAGGCAGTGAATTTATGTATGCAAAAATACTCAAAAAGGTGTAGAATAACAGGGGGAGGAAATAAAAACTCAACTAGTTCAAAATTTGTTAAACCTACTGTTGCACTCCTGTAGTCGAAAAGATGTTAGATGGAGTTGTGGATGGGGATTGCTGCAGATCCCCATGTCCTCCTCAACTAGGTACAGTAGCTCCTGTTTGACTCAAGAGGATAAGATGATGCCATAATTCTTTTAACAGTTTCTTCAAGAGAAATGTAGTTGTGCAAATAAAAACTCCATGTAAATATCTCATTTGATTGCTAAGTGCTTTTATGGGGTTCAGTTTCTTGATGCTGGTCTAGTTCCTGCAAATATTTAAGTACCTGCCTTATGAATAGCCTTACCAGAAACATCAGTATTAAAAGGAAAAAAAAAAAAAAAAGAGAAAAGAGAAGCAAGAGTATTGATAGTATTTCAATTTTAAAAAACCTCTACTTTAGTGTAGGTTGTCTGTTGTAGTTCTTCCTGGGGCATTGCTGTGTTCTGTGGTGTGCTGATAACCAAAATAGTTCAGAAATCAAAAGGCTTTTTAATGTTAGTGTTTAGTGTTTTTGAGTGTTTAGGACAGATGTTTAGTTGCATGTGTGACAGTTACTCTAACTGGTTTCATCCCAGATACGTTGTTTTATTTGGCATTGTGAGCCCAACGTGAGGAAGCTGTAGATCGGTGGTCTTCTCGCTCATGCAGGTTTTGCTGAGCTTTGGTAACGCGCTGTTCCATATGCCAGGCATTCCCTTGCTTTGTGGAGCCCCTTTTGTTACAAGTGCATTTTGTCTCGCATAAGGTACAAAGTAAGTAGCGTAGGGCCAGTAGACGCTGTCTGCAGTGCCATCCTTCAGGATGTTCTTGGGAAAGTGATGAATGAGTTAAAACTTCAAAGAAGTATGCTCTAGACAGAAGTACTAAAAACAGTGCGTGATCAGACAAGTACTTGATGGAACTGTCCTGCAGCAGTTCTGATTTTTTAATTAGTTAAATGTTTTAAATCAACTTGAACTCAATCATAGTTGCTATAATCAAATGCAATGCATTTATTTTCATTATAGGATAGAGTAAGTTGCTAAAAAGTACTTCTAAACAATTCAGGAAAACTTTTTGAGAGCGTGTTAAGTGTTATGTTGAGGTATAATGGAGAAACGCGTAACTCACGTTGGATTGCATCTGAGTTGTAGTTCTAGTTAAACAGTGCAAGTGAGAACTTGTTAGTCCAGCCCCGTAATGTTGCATTCTGCTTTGAAATCAAGAGTGAAGGGATTTAATCACAAAGGAGAACCATCTACTTGACGGGCACGTTTGGATTCTTTTTGGTTTTGTGGTCTGTAGAGGAATCTGGGAAGAGCAGAAGAAACTGGCATCAGAAGAGCAATACATATTGCTATCTCTTGCTGCTTATTCTTTTCGGGTAGGAAGTCTCTGGTGGTACTTGAGATACTTAATTTCTGTGGCTCACAATTATAAATCAAAGAAGATATTTGAAAACTTCTGCAAATGATTGCCTATAGCATGCTGACTCAGCTGTGACCTCTAGTTCATTCTACTTTACACTTGCAAAAGTCCAGGCTAGAAGTCCTGATGGAAGAATTAGTTCATCCTGAGTTATTTTCTTTGCTTCCATTTGTCAAACATTGTGGCACGTTTTGAACTTTTCTATGAGAAATAGTTAACTGATTTTAACTTCCATGGGACTTTTCTCTGTAGGGAAGGTAAGCATTTACATATCTTTATTTAGAAATTTTGCACATTTTTATGTAATTTTATATTTATATACAATTTTTATAGGAGCCTTTCGAAGCATAATTCTACATTGCTTTTAGAAGTGTCTCAATAGATTAAAAAAGTAAACAGACACATTTTAAAATGAAAGCTTCTGTCTACTCTCACTGACAAAATAACATCAAGACCTTGGTCTTGCAGTTGATGCTATTCAGCCTCAGAATTTGCTTTGCAAAGCAGTCTTGGGAAGAAGAGCAACAAGAATGCTTATCTGGCATTGATAAACCTTGCTGGCTCAGCATCCATATCACAGTTAATTCTCCATCTGGGTTAGCCAACACTGGATACTGGAGGGCTGACTGTATTTGGTAGTGTGATACACTGTTTTTTCCTTTGTAAAGTGGTCACTTGTGTTTGCACACTCTTGTTGCAGCAATATCATGAAAATAAAAGTAATTGTACACTCTCATATTTACTTTCTTTTTGTGCCTTCTTATAGTACAAGTCAACTGGCTTCATGTCCTGGCCACTGTAGTTTAAAAGGAGGCCATAGCAGTCAGCTTCCAGCACTGGACCTGCTGCACAAGTGGGATCCAGCTCGTCTGCTCAAATGTGACCTTTGGCAAAGCACATTGTTATAATTGGGAATGATGAAAAGTGGCATGATTTCATTGCAGATAAATGTATGGCTTCAGATCTCCCAGAAGGTGCATCTTTCTTTATCAAATTATTCCTCCATCGTATTAGCAATGACCTGCAAATGAAATTTCTTATGTGTCTTTTTTCTTCAGCATGTTTTCTACACAAGATAAACCAGATTCCTTCTCTCATTTTAAATTGTACACCTGTCAAATATGACTGCCTTGTTTTGTTTAGAGCACCCGCAGAATGAATGCATTCTTGTGTTCTTGGTTCATGGTGGAAAGCTCTTAAGTCAACAAAGGCTGCACTAAGTCAACATCAGCTTTCTGTTTCATTTACTTACTTTCTACTTTCTTTGATAGTTTTCCTAGTTTTCTAATTTTCTGTATATCTTACAGGAAAGCCAATAGTGTGAAAAAGGCCCAAATTTCTGTTGTACTTTTAAAGTTTGCTGTTTGTTTTTTAGTAACAAAATGCCATAACTTCCAAACAATTAATTAAAAATACTAAAATACATATATATGCTTTCATTTTCCTCTGTTGTTTGTGCTGAAGTGTGTAGTTCTGTGTTCTTACTGCTAACCCCTTCAACGTGTTTGTTGCACTTTAGAGTGAATGCTGTCCATGATGAGACTGTGCCTGAGTCTGCTGTGCAGAATGGCAACTGTGTGAGAAATGGCAACCTGAAAACACCAGTAAGTCAGTTTTAAAACTTTAAAAAAAGATTTAATTATTTTAAATTGCAGAATTTATTTTCTGTCTCATTCAATTGTTACAAGAATGGGTATTACATAATGCGATCTCAGTGCATCTAAAATCTAGTTACTGGATATAGCT